TTTTCAAAGCAAATGTAAATTTAAACCATATAAGGACCCCAAATCAAAGCAGGATATACAAAGAAATAAGATTACAGTAAACCTAATTAAAATCCAAACCACTGCACCAGTCGGTGGTGGCACACGCCTTGAATCCCAGCACTCGGGAGGCAAAAGCAGGTGGATCTCTGTGAGTTCGAGGCTAGCCTGGTCTACAGAGCAAGTTCCAGGATAGACTCCAAAGGTACAGAGAAACCCTACTTCCAAAACAAACAAACAAAAAGCCAATCCATTGTAGCATGAAAGAGATGAGCTAATATTGTTAAATAAGAATTTTCCTGAAAGGCATACTCTAAAGAAAGAAATATAAACTGGGTCCAAAGTTTCATAGCCTAGGATCTGGGCTGAGCCTAACGGAAGAAAGGAGCAACTCCAGCGCTCTAAAGCTCTGCTGCCAGGCAGTGGGCAAGGACACTGCACAGAGGACTTCATCAGCTTGTGTGCAAACAGCGGCTCAATTGTGAGGGCAGGCTACCATCTCAGTATTTCAGAAATCTGCAAGCAGTATGGCTACCAGAATATTTTATACAGGCGCACACGCACACACTCGAGGTTTCCCAGTTAATTAACATAAGAATTCATCCAAAGAGAATTCAGCCAGTCACCGCAGCGATGTTGGTCACATACGCACAGCACAGGGACCACAAATAAAAACAAGAGGTGGAGCATGGTGGGTCATGCCTGGAATCAACCTGGGCTATGCGTACAGTGAGGCCTGTCTCAAAATAATAATGATGACGATGACGATGATGATGATGATGATGAGTCTGATGACTAACACATTGAGAGTTTCCTAACACCAAGCCCTCTGCTCAATGTCACACTTTAATACAGAATTTTTTTCTTTTTTTGTCTTTCTTTGGGGAGTGAGGGAGGGGGTTGACACACGGTTTCTCTGTGTAGCCCTAGCTGTCCTGGAACTAATTCTGTAGACCGGACTGGCCTTGCACTCACATAGATGCACCTGACTCTGACTCCCAAGTGCTGGGATTAAAGGTTTGAATATTAGATTTTTAAACAACCACCAATCCTCAATTTGAGAAACTGGTAGATGTAACTTAATATTCAGCAAGTGACAAGAGCTGGCACCCAATGGACTGTCTCTGGAACTCTTGCTAAGCAGCCTCCCAAAGAGGCAAACTGAAGCAGTGCCCATGACATACTGGTCCCAGGGAAGGGACTTTTCCCCCACTCAAAAAAACCTGTCTGGTTCTGCAGACAGTGGGATTCCCCCTCTGAAAATGTATCATTTCCAGGGCAACACCTCTCCGAGGGGCTCTGCCTCCCTGGTGGCCTTCTTTTGGGCTGGCAGTGGATCACACCCTGGCTCTTGGGGCACGAAAACATGGGGCTCTTAGCAGTTCAACGTTGCATTACAGGATACTGAACTGCCCTGGTTTTACATATTATCCTAAGTGATGGGGTAATCCTTACTTATTTTTTATTGTGATTATTACAGCTTGTTCTATTATTGTCTGTTTGGTCGATTTCTTGAAACGGGGTCCCTGTGTAGCTTGGGCTGGCCTCAAACTTCAATTTGAGATCTTTCAGTCCCAGCCTCCGGGGTACAATACTATTACATGCTAAAGTCCCGGCTCTCCTCGCATTATATGGCATTATTGTGAAGTCTCTATGGTTGCATTATGGAAGCAAACTGGTACTTAAGTAATCGAGAGGAGCCATTTTCCCCTGCAACTTGGATTTGACAGCAGCAAAACTTGTCGCCCAAACGTACAACGGTAATTCTGGGCTTGCCTGGTGAGAGGTACCAACACACCGGCAGTTCTCACACGTGCTGGATGTACACAATCGGGGGACAGGTGTCACCCCACTCAGATTATTTCTGAACAAGGCATTTGGAAGAGTTAGACCTGGTGACCAAGGCATCTGTTTACACATTACATAGCGGACCTTCTTTTCCAAGAGAAAGTTTGCTAAGCTTTCTAACCAGTACTGTGGTTAAAAACTGAAGCAGTGGATGATCTTCCCAAGGACAAGACAGTCAGTCCCCTCAGAATCAGGCCGGCCCTCTTGGTGTACTCTGCTCTGTTTAAAACTGGCCTCGGAGAGGAATCGTGGGGGGCACACTCCTACAGTCCCAGCACTCCAGAGGCGAGGCAGGAGATAAGCAATTCACACTGAGTTTCAGGCCAGCCTGAGCTACAGGAGACCTTCTCTCAATAACAACAACAACAACAATTTTCTTTAAAAAGAAAGAGAAGAAATCTTGGACTGAGGGCATCCCCACAGTGTTGAATAACGCTGTTTAGATCCTGAACTGGAGCCTCTAGCAAAAGATGGCAATCTCCTAGGCTGTGGCTGGTTTTTTTTAAACATTTGCCTACTTTTCTTTTATGTGTGCAACACCTGTGCCTCCACAGTGCGTGTTTACACACTATGTCCATGCCTGGTGTCCACAGAGGCCAGAAGAGGGTGTTCTATGGCCTGGAACTGGAGTTACAGGTGTTTGTGGACCACCGTGTGGGTGTTAGGAGTCAAAACTCAGGTCCTCTCTAAGTGCTCTCAACTGCTGGCCGTGGTGTCTCCAGCCCTGGGCTTCTTGACTAACAGAAAGCAAAGGTGGTGAGCTCAGTCTTCCTGCATTTACTGAACGCACATGATGCTCTGCTTATAAAAACAAATACACCATAGTCCTTATGAAGCTGACTCTCTGGGGGTGTAGGCAGACCTGATGTATTTGGATGAACCTTATAGAGAAAAAAAATAAAAAACAATATTTGGCTGGGGCAGGATAGGGAGGAGGGGATGAGGACGAGGACAGGGACAGAGATGAATGAAGGAAGTATCAAGATACCAAATAAAGGGCCGGGCGCTGGTGGCGCACGCCTTTAATCCCAGCACTCGGGAGGCAGAGGCAGGTGGATCTCTGTGAGTTCGAGACCAGGCTGGACCGACAGCCTCCAAAACAATACAGAGAAACCCTGTCTCAAAAAACAAAAAAAAACAAAAAAAAAACAAACAAACAAACAAAAAAAAAGATACCAAATAAATGCAAATAAGCAGGAGACTAAGTCCCTCTCTCCCAGACAGCTTTCCCTTTTTCCTCCTTGAGCGGATCTATATATTCCCTTCCAAGGTTCTTCTGTCTTCTGTTCAACACACAGCATGGGCTACCTCCTCCCGTGCTCCAGGGACAGTCTTACCTCTCCTGGCTTCCATCCACCTAGCTGGGCTGAGATTCCCAAGCCTCTCTCCTTCAGCCTGGATCTCTCGCCTGGCCCTACACGAAGCATATCCACCTCTCAGTCCAACAACTCCAGTTCATACCAAGTGGTATCAACCGGCACCTCAAACCTAGTATTTAGGTCCCGAACTGAATGCAGCTCTTTCAAATTTCCTCTTAATTACAGTCTACTGATAACCTGAGGGCCAACTAGACTCCCAGCTAACAGCTGTTTGGTTGGTCCTAAAGCTCTCCAGCTTCTACATCTTCTCTCCATCCCCGAGCAAAGGCAGACGGCTACTGTCTGCATCTGAACTACTATTCAGTCATTCTCAAGAGGACTCGCATAGGCAGAAACACACCTTGGTTTAAAAAGCCTAGGTCATCTTCCCTATTCCTATCAAGGTAAGTTGAAATATTAACAACAAAATGCCTTTGTTACTTGTGTAGGATCAGTGATTTGTAGCCAGGTAGGACCCCTTGCCCTAGCACTGAAGTCATTGCTCAGATATTCCTTTCCCTCCCTGCTCCTATGAGAACAAGCATTCACGCCTACCTTCTCACTGGTCTCAACACTGGGGCAATCTACTGGTACCTCTGTACACAGCTGGCACTTACAGGGTCTCAAAACTAAACCATCAACTGATTTTTCCTAGAAAAAAAAAGTGATCTATTCCCGATGTCTTATGAACTACAATATCTATGTGGAATTTCCAAATAAAACACGAGCCGTTTAAGAGCCTGTTTCTTCTTTTTCTCAACCATGGTCCAAGCAGCCAAATGCAGGGAGAGTTCCCAAGTTTAGAGTTCCTTCTTTTACAGTGCTTACAGCAGAACTTTTAATTTAGGACCTTGTGGGGATATGTGAGGACTCCACAACTTCCTACCCAGAGCCCGAGTTCCTATGATTACTGTAATAGACAATTAGTAAGTACTTAGAGTTTTTACATGTGCTTTAAACCACAGCCACTCCGAGCACAGGCGCCACTGTCAGACTTACGGCTCTCATGGACGAACTGGGACTTGGAGACATCAAATAACTCGTCTAAGGTTATAGAACTAGTTGGTGAGGAAAGCAAAATTCAGACTTCAGGTGGCATGACTCTAGAGTCTCCACTTGGGCTACCAAAAATAGCCCAAGTGAATGTTGCACAAACGAATAAATGCATGCATGTAGGCTGGGGAGGTGGCTCAGTGGTTAAGAGCACTGGTTGCTCTTCCAGAGGACCTGAGTTCAATTCCCAGCAACCACACAGTGGCTCACAACCACCTGTAATACAATCAGACTGTTTCTTCTGGTGTGCATGAAGACAGACCACTCATATACATAAATCCATGAAAAAATTAATTTAAAAAATATTTCCTCTTAATCCTTATACTGTCTAATGCAACTGACAGAGGAAAAAAAACTTAAAAACACATGCATGCGTGCATACATGCATGAAGACAGTAAACTGATCAGACTGACCCAATTAGGATTTAATAATAAGTGGGAACTTGGATAACCCAAAAAACACGCATATTTGATTCTCCACAGTCTTTATGGAAGGCATAGGATTCAAACAGGGTAAAAAGATAGACATTGTAAATTCTCCTGGGAGCACCCCACCCACGGAGTAAAACTTTTGCTCTGATCTCTTCCTTCCTCCTTGGGTGGAGAGCTTGCAGGCTCACCGACAGGACTTGCTTCCAGTTTCAGGCGGCTAGGATACACAGCCACTATGAGGTAAGGAGAGAAGACAGGCCAGAGAAACCTGCAGTCTCGTTAGCAGCTTACCTCCCTCAGCTCCAGTCTTTGGGCTACAGCTTCTAGGCTCTCCTGGCCAGTGCTCTCCACAGACAAAGTGAATTCCACAAATTCATTATTGAGCAGCTGGATCCGGGCAACCAGGCAGCTCTTGCTGGACACAGTGTAGCGCCGGGTGCGTTTCAATTTCAGTCCAAATGGCAGTGGCATCTTCTCCCTTCAACAGTGGAGGGGCCAGGAAGGAACGATCCAGCAGTGATGGAGCCAAGCCAAAGCGACCCTCTGGTGTCAAAACAAACTCCAGTCTCCAGTTACTCATCCAACAGCCGCTGCCGCCATTAAAAAGCAACTGAGTCTCCAAAGGCCAAGTGATGGGGACATCCACGCCAGAGCTGAGGAAAGAGAAAAGCAGTTACTATGGGCTTTGCTTTAAAATTAAAAAGAAAGAAAGAAAATCGCTGTAACTGAGTATAAAGAATAAGCTTTGCCTTTCTGCTGGAATACGAAAGGTCTAACACGAGCAGGGAGGTGACAGGAAAAATTTATCTCGAGGGCCGAGGGTGGGGCCCAGGGTCAGACCCCACCCCTCATTCTACCTCACTCACTTCTAGTGATAGCAGCCCCGGCTGTTAGGATTAAATAAGATAATGCCCAGCACGTCTATACTCCAAAGCATTAGTGGTCATCTTGCTAGGTTGGAGGAAGGGTTGTTTTTTCATAGGTAACTCTTTCGAGTTTCCCAATACTCAGATGTCTTCAGTTCCTGATTGTGTTTATTTATTAAGTGCACAACAAGAGACCCGGCTCTTCAGGCAAATTAATCCTGCAACCCAAATGGGGAGAATAATCCCACCTAACATATAGCAACTATGAGGTTCAAAGGAAATAAAGCGCTTAACAAGGCTTTCTAAAGCCCCTTCTGGTTCATTATTAACGCCACCACAAAGATGTGAGTATAAACAAGTCCTAAGCACCCTGGAGATGCTCGATCTCAAATCATAGCACTTCTGAGAAGCGTGCTCTGGACTCCCCTCCCGGGTAGGGACACCTAGGGAGGCTGTGGGCGCTCACCTAAAGAGAAGGGCGAGGCCTTAAAAGCCATCCTGGTTAAAGAGGGAGAGCAAGGCTGGGCAAGCCCATGAAGTCCAACGCAGCTGAGCGCCTCAGCTTCCGAGCCTCAGACTCCCCTCCCCTGGATGAAAGCAAGCAGTGTTGCCTGGCCAACCGGGAATGTCGGAAGCCTCGCCAGCCCCGGAACCCTCCGCCAGCGGCCCCGTTTCCGGGCGGACGTGCTCCGAAAGGACCGGCCTCCCCTGTGATCGGAGGAGGGAGGATTTAAAGGGGCCGGCGTTAGTCCTATAGGCAGGGAGAGATTGGTCGCTCAGTTTGAGGCCGTATCCACGTAACAGCACCCCCAAAACACGCTACGTTTTTAACCACACTTGTTGATGGTGACTTCTGCGGTGAGATAAACTGGGGGCGAGCGACAGCTCGGGATTTTTATTAGAGTTATTTTCTCCTCAACAATTTGACAAAAATCTCAGTTATTTCCATCCCTCGCACTGCTGTCAGTCTCACCTCCGCCCCTTCCTCCGGGGACGAATCCTTTAGCCAAGCAGGGTCCTAGCTGATTACTCGACTTGGGAGCGAGACCGCGCGGTTGGATAGTCTGCTCCTAAGCCTCGCCAGGCAAACAGAACCCAGGCCTCAACAGAAGCCTCGGTCTCGCGCTAATACGGACCTAGCTGGGTATCCTCCGATTTTTCTCCATCACTCCCAGTCTTCCTTTCTGCCCTGCTCACCAGTCTGAGACTCAACCCCAGAGGTTATGAACGGCCAGGCCTGCGGAAGGACTGAACTAGAAACTGAGGTTTAGACTTTGCCAAACTCAAGTCTTGGAATTCCATTCCACAAATATGTCCTGCGTCTCAGAGCACAAGACAGCCTGATGAGCATCTTGAGGAAATCCAAGACGAATCCTAAGCCGTCTCTGCCCTTAAGGAGATTACAGGCATCTATAATTATATTCAGAGCTGTATCACTAATAGGGACATGGTCAAGGTTTCTAAAAATTTTGTTAATGTTTTGCTTTTTAGAGCTCTGTAGTGAGGTGATCTCCCTGCCACCACTGCAGAAAGATGAAACAAGGGGCCGAGGAATGCCAGAGGGGAAAGTGGAAAACTACAGCATTATGTTAATATTTGCTGAATAGCTTCCTTGGGTAAAAGCATTACTCCATAGAAGGAATGGGGAGGAGGGACCATAATAAGAGAGTCTCTACATGCAATATTTTTCCAAGTTATTTGTTGTTCCCAGAGTATAAACAGATGAAGTGGACGGGGACACACACACACACACACACACACACACACACACACACACACACCTTAAACAAGCTTTTAGCCAGAAGATATGCCAATTGTGTTCCTGTAAATTTAAAAACAAAAATATGGGTAGCATGCAAAGTATTATCTCAAAAGATAGTTATAGATTTCAGTCTTACAAGTTGTGGTAACTGGAAATATTAAGGAATGTGTATAAAAAAACAAGGTTTTGTATGTCCAAAGGAAAGACATCTGATTTAGGTACTGTCAAATGTGTTAATTTCTTCACTATAAAGATGGAGCTATGCCTTAAACACAGCATATTACACTATATGGCTTAATTATTAACTTAAGTTCTGATTAGGTAAACTCAAATTTCCAGTTGTCCCTGAGATTGGAAATGTTTTACAGCATCAGGGATGAGGAAAAACCAATGTTTTTTTTTCTTTTTGCAGCTGTTATAATCTGATTGTTATATTTCTGTGTATTTACATCTAAGAATGTCTGGTTTCTTGATTATTCATATAAAACCCACTGTGCCAAAAGTCCTGCTTAGTAACTTTAAATTGTATCACTGATGAATATATCTCAGTGACGTCATAAATTATGTTTGACTATTACAGCCAAGGAGTAGAAATTTAAGGTATTCTGAGGAGAGCTGAGGTGTCAATTACTAAATGAAATAGGTTATATCCATTACAGAATAAGAAAAAAAATGAAATAGGCTATATCCATTACAGAATAAGAAAAAAAATGCATGTTAAACTCTGCTTCATAAGATTGCAAAAGGTGGTCTGCTTCTACTAGTGAGTTCATTTTCATTTTTCTTGTCCATATCCCCTTCCAAATGTTTCTCAAACTCACTTTAAGCCTGAATCTTACGGGACACCCCACCCTAATTCGCTCGCCACATGTTCATGGAATTTTGCCACTATCCCTGTAGCATTAAATAATCACTGAAAAGGAAGTATCTGGCATTTTTTAGAACATCTTTATCTTAGTGCTTTTGAGAATCTATAGTTAAACGGCCTACAAACAAAACAACTATTTTCAGAGTGAAATGCTTGTGCCCCGAACTAAAAAAGAAAAAGAAACCTGTCAGTAACTATTAGACCGACATCCTGCAGTTGTCACTTGGAGCTCGTACATGGTCAGAACGTGTTTTCTAGCATTATCTACTATCATAAGGCTTTCTCGGCGGGGGAGAGGGGGCTGGGAATAAGGCTAGCATTCTCAGAGCAGCCAATCTAATCAGGGTTTGCAGAAATCACAAATCGAAATCTGCAGATCCAAGAATTCTCCGGGAGTAAAGGCTCTTGACTCCAAACCGAAACGAGCAGTTGCCAAACAATCCTTCCTTTATGCCTCCTGTCGCCAAAGTTATCGGACAACTTCCACACTCCACGTATTCCGAGGGGCACAAATATGCCCAAGATTTCAAACCCTGATCCAGAATTAAGCCGCAGCCATCCGCGGAGGAGTCCGGAATAGAAGTTCCAGACTCTTTTTAGAAATGACTCGAGGAGATCAGAGCGAGCCTGGGAGGGGAAGACTTCGCTCTTTGTTACGCCCCTGCCCGAGTCCCCCCCGCGCCTCACCTGCTCCCGCTCCCGCCGGGTCGGGGCCACGCGCCCGCTCTGCGTCCCGCCTCCCCGGGCTCCCTCCGCGCGGCCGCCGCTCTCCCGTCCGCGTCCCGGGCCCGCGCTCCGGCCGCACACTCTGCACGCAGCCGCCGGGTCGCTGCGGGACTCGCTGGGGAAGCTCAGAGGCTGGGATCGGAGCTGCGGGGCCCGCGTCCCTCCCCCTGGGCCGGGCGCGCGGATCCGGGGAGGCGGCGGCGCGTGACCTCAGAGAGCTGGAATGCGGGCGGCGGGGAGCGGGGGAGGCCGGACAGCTGCGCCCGGCCGGCCGCCGGGGAGGGGGCGCGCCGCTGCTGTTTTTAACCGTGTGACCAGTTATTTTAAGTTTCCAAATAAAGCGGAGCTTTAATATACATATAAAAAAGGAGGGGAGGGGGACGCTATTTTGGGTCCAGGTAGAAAGGGACCTGGTGCGGTACTTGAGTGGTGGTCTGTAGAGAAACTGGGGTTACTGGTGTGCTAGTGTACTTGGAGCGTTCCACACCCCCCTTTAGTGCCTGCTCCTCCAGTAAAGTACACACTGCTCCTCCGCCTTAGGAACTCTGAAGCGAAACGTGGAGAGAAGTGAAAAGCTGACACAAATGGGAGCCGAGAGGCATGCCGGGGAGAAGAGTTCTAGAAATAAGGGTGACCAGGGAAGCCATTCCAGACCTAAAGTTCTCATAGCTGAGCTTTGCCTTGGGGACCACTGGGAAGGACTGACAACCCCGAGGTGGCCATGGGAGTAGCTCGAAGGGAAAGAGAACTGGGGAGCTGACCCCACCCCCACCCCAGACCATTGAGACCTCCTCGGGAGCATGGTCCCCCAGAGAGAACTGTATGCATACCTAGCGCAGAATGAAAGAAGCTCCAGGGTCAGATTGTTTGCATTCAAATCCCAGCTCCAACCCTTACTGGCAAATTCCTTAGCCTCCTTGCAATTAATTCCTCTCCTGAAAGCCGGGAATGATCGCTATCCAGTAAACGTGAGTAAAATATACGTGAAAGGTTTCACTCCATGCTAGGCCTAGCTACTAGTGCTTACCATTATACTGTATTTGCTACCCCTCGTCGTGGGCACGTGGCATCAGCTCCTCCTACTCCCATGGTTTCCTCTCTGGCTTCTTAGCCTTTTCCAGTGCTCGCACAAGGTGAAATTCAGCTACCAGACCTCTAGGGGTGATCTAGAATGACTCCCTGGCCACCCCTCTCTCCAGCATGCCCTCTGCTCCCCATAAAGGGAATCTGGGTGGCAGCTCCAGACCCCTTCCCATCTGTGCCAGCCCCCCAACTCAATCCAGGACTCCACTTCCAAGGCACAGTTCTAACCACCCTGTAGTTGCTGCACTTGGCGGGATTATTAAAAACTGTTTCACGGTGGCTTCTTTTATATCTCCTGGAATTACGAGGGCAGTGCTGGCCAGACAGTAGGCACTAAATAAAAACGTGTTAATTGAATCGGGAAGAAAATGAAAGAATTTTAAAAATAGAAAATGACCATAAAACCCAAGTGGTGCTTTAGACAAGTGAGTTGAACTTCTTCAGTCCACACATGTCATCTCCCAACCAGGCACTTAAGTTCTATTTTCCACTCGGTCATGTTAATTTGGAAGAAACATGCCCACAGCAAGGCAGGAGGACAGCCCCTTCAAGTATTACACATAAAATCACCATTAGCTTACATCTCCAACCAACGGGAGTGAGGTCATTTATACAGGTCAACCCCAACATATAAAAGATAATTAAGTGAAAGCCTTAATGTCCTGCCTGCTAGACATCCAACTTTTTGGGGATGGTTATTTGATCCCTATGTACCTTTACAGAGATATAGACTATCATGCACACATGTGCACATGCCTGCATCTTATTAACCAGAAAGTGGTACATCATGCATGCCTACAATTGAAGGCAATTCTTTTCCTTTGTTTCTCTGTGTAACATTGGTTGTCCTGGAACTCAAGCTGTTGACCAGGCAAAAATTATTGTTATTATTATTATTAATTATTTTGGTTTTCAAGACAGGGCTTCTCTGTGTAGCTTAGCTGTCCTGGAACTCACTCTGTAGACCAGGCTGGCCTTGAACTCAGAGATCTGCTTGCCTCTGGCTCCCGAGCACTGGGATTAAAGGTGTGTGCCACCTCGCGGCAGTAATTCTTTTTTTTTTTTTTTTTTGGTTTTTCGAGACAGGGTTTCTCTGTATTGTTTTGGAGGCTGTCCTGGAACTTGCTCTGTAGACCAGGCTGGCCTCGAACTCACAGAGATCCGCCTGCCTCTGCCTCCCGAGTGCTGGGATTAAAGGCGTGCACCACGAATGCCCGGCCGTAATTCTTATTAAAATATACAAATATAATTAGAAAGAGGGCTGGGAAGATGATGGTTCAGCAGGCATGGACAAAGCACTGTTGTTCCGGGGACTTGTGTTCATTTCCTAGCTCCCATTTAGGTGGCTCACGACCTGTAACTCAGTGTCTGCCTGTACCTGCCCTTGTGTGCACATACCTACCCCTTCCACGAACATATCTACATATAATTAAAAAGAAATCTTTAACAAAACTGTGGAAAGAAAGCCCTGATATAAAATGATGAAAGACAAAATTATAAGCAGGAAGGAAACTGTGGTTGGGAGATCCACTGACTAGCATTTTTTATAAAGTTGTATTTTTATACATATGCATATGTTAGTTTATGTGTGTGCGCTTGCGTGCACATGTCTTTGGAGGCTGGAAAAAGACTGAGTGACCTAGGACTAGAGTTGCAGGCCCAGCGTGGGTGCTGGGAGCCCAACAAGGGCCCTGCAAGAGCAGTGAATGCTCTCCATACCTCCAGCTCCTCAGGTAGTATTTCCTTAGCGCATTTGCTTTGGTGTCTTGGTGACCGCCCATCATATACTATTATTTTAATTACCATTCCCTGTAAGAATCCAGACAGAAGGAATTGCTTCATCCTAGAAAGACAAGGATGCCAGGAGAGAGGACGAAGATTAGAACTAACAAATGTGAGGTGCTTAGGGCTGGAGAGATGTCTCCGTGTTCAGAGCACTTGTTGCTCTGGCAGAGAATCCCGGTTCAATCCCTAGCACTCACGTGGTGGCTCATAACCATCTGTAACCCTGGCCCCATGGGCCCCTACAGGTGAAATCACCTTCATGCCTGGAATCTTTATCTCTGACTCCCTTGATCAACACTGCACGAGGTACAACACCCATATGGTTAGAATGGTGATTTCTGAGGATCAGTTCTCTTGGACCTCAAGAAAATGATGTTGGTCACATTTATATTTAAATGGGCAGGACAATAGAAAGGGTGCCAGCCTCACAGCCACAGTGACTGCTGTGACAGTGATTCCCAACACTCAGGGATTCTTTCTAAGCACTTTTTATTTATTATTATTGTGGAGCGGGGTGTGGCATGTGCGGAGGTTAGAGGACAACTGTGTGGAGTTGGTTCTCCCCGTCCACCTTGACTTGAGTTCCAGAGATTGAACTCAGGTGTCCAGACTTGCATCATGGGAGACAAGCACTTTTATCCACAGGCCCCTGGCATCCGTAGATTCTGATGCAAAGGCAGACAAGCTATTTGGTTTTGTATTAGAAACCAGGTGTTTTGCATGGAGAAAGACAAATAAGATGCATGTCCTGCCCCCCTCAAGGACTCATCCTGTGAACAATAGGCGAAGTTAAGTAAGAAAATTTACACAAAGGTATAACCCAAAGGGATTGATGATGCCTAGTTAATAATTGTGAGAATCCTCTGTTTGAGTCTGGAAAGACAAATACAAGTCACTAAACACTCAAGGAAAAGAAAAGCATTCCAAGCTGGGAAAACCCACCACCTCTGCTTCAATCCTTCCATAGACGGTAAAGGAGTCTCTGTCTGTCTGTCTGTCTGTCTGTCTGTCTGTCTGTCTGTCTGTCTCTCTCTCTCTCTCTCTCAGTATAAAATCCAACTGAAATGTAGCCCCGAGGGAGGCTGGCGACACAGGGGGCACCATTGTTAGAGAACTTAGGGCTTTGTGGAAGCTGGAGTTGGCACTCAGGCCCTGCCAACTTCATAACCAATGTTCTTTTTCAGCTCTCTCCTCTATTTGGAAGTTAGCCAAGAACCCTCTTAGCTGGCACTGTAGTTCATTGTGATCTGGCTCTCATACTATCCCTTAGGAGAAAAATATGCCATTTGTCATGGGCCAGTTTATTCTTTTGCAAGACTGATACTTCCAGTCCCTTCAAGGATGTGGGCTGTGAAGCTGCATCTCACAGGGAAGCACTCTGAACAGCCTCCAGTCCCCGAGTGCCATTGGTTTAGTGGGGGCACTCTCTCAATGACTCAGACTCTATATCGTCTGAGATCTGAACCGGTTTGAGTTCTCAAATACCATGCAATTCTCTTCCATAATTGTAAGCTGGCTGTCTTCAACGCCTTTAAATAAATTCCTTGTTAGAAATGCAAAACAAAACAGAACACGATCTTGCTATGTAGCCAGGCTGGCCTTAAACTCATGATGCTCCTACCCCAAGCCTCCCAAGTCCCAGGAGTGCAGACATGTGCGGCAATGCCTGACTTTGGATGGGCGTGCGTGCGTGCGTGCGTGCGTGCGTGCGTGCGTGCGTGCATGCGTGCGTGCGTAGACCAGAAGTGGGTGTTGATGTTTTCTTCAATTGCTCCACATCTTATTTCCAAGATAGGCCCTCTCACTGGGCCTAGAGTTTGCACATTTGCCTGGACTAGTTGACCAGCAAGCCCCAGGGATCCCCATGTCCCCAGTTCCCCAATTCTGGGATTACAGGCATATGACACCATGCCTGGTTTTTCACATAGGCGCTGGGGGGTTATTCAAGTCTTTACATGTGGCAAACACTTGACTGACTGACTGGCCCATCTCTCCGGGTCTCTGAATACTTTTCAATGGAAATGCTCTTGGCTCTTCTTATACAAGATTTTTCCAATGGTAACTATGTTGTTGAATGTCAATTTATTTAAGTTACAATAATGGTTAAACATGTTCATGCCCTTAGTTATGGAATGGTGGATAAGAGAATAGAAAGGAAAAAAAAAACTTACCAGGCTTTTGAACAACGTGATGAGCACAGAGACGTGGTCCTACTCACCCATGCGCTCCGGCTTCTAGCACAATGTCTGGCTCAGTGCAGGCATTTAATTTTTAATCAACAAACAGAACGCTGCAGG